TCTGTATTCACCAGGAGTTGGTGAAAGGAAGGAGGGGGGAAGGGTCAATTTCTCCTTGTTTTAAGATCCAAGGGGTTTGGATCTGTATTCACCAGGGAATTGGTGAGAGGTTTCTAAAAGCTTCCCAGGGTAGGGAATGGTGGCAGCGGACCAGAACTAAGCTGGTAGTTAAGCTTAGAAGTCCTCATGCAGGCCCCCACTCTTGTACCCTAAAGTTCAAAGTGGGGATACAGCCTTGACAGCGTCTAACTCAGGCTTTGTGAAGTGCAATGTTGTTCCTGTGATTTTTTAAGTGCCTAAAAGTTAGGAATTGTGATGCCTACCATGGCAATGCCTAAGTCCCTTTGTGAATTTGGGCCTAAATACTCAAGGTATGACAGCCAAAGTATTGTCATGGATCAGAAACTGGCTACAAGACAGAAAACAAGTAGGAAGAAATAGTCAATTTTCATCATGGCAGAAGGTTAACAGCAGCTGCTTCAAAGGTCTGTACTAGGCTATTCAATATATTTACTAACAATATGGAAGAGGATGGCCACATTTGCAGACAACAAAATTATTTGGGCTAGTCAAGACTGGAGAGGGCTGTGAAGAGCTTCACCAAGATCTAACTAAGCCAAGTGAATGGGCAGCACAATGGGAGATTAAATTCAAATCTGATGCCAAGTAATGCACATTGTAGGGAATAACTGGAACCTCTTATACACCTTATAGGATGTTCTAAATTAACTATCAGCTCAGTAAGAGACCTGGTCTGCTTAATGAAAACCTCTCTAAGCCACAGCAATCAACAGCAAACAAAATGTGAGGATGTATAAGGAATGAGAGACTACTAGTATGGTACACCTCACCTGGAATGTGTTCAGTTCAGTATTAAATGCCGTATCCGTATAGAAACTGAATCCTGATAGTTTTGTCATCTCTCTCATATTGTTGAGAATGACTCTTGAGGAAGCTTGTGTGTAGTACATGTGACAATTCCACTGAGCAATATTTTAAGGATCAAGATAAATTCTTTTTACTCTAGTAACTTGATAGTTGTTGGAAAGGAAATTAAGCAAAATAATATGCTTGGCTTTTGTGTGTTGGGGGGAAAAATCTGACAGTAAAATGAATTTAAAGAGTTCTCAGAACTTAAACACTGCAGCCTTTTCTCATTTCTTATTCCCTGCTGCCATCTATTTGGCATTATTTTACTCACTGGCCCTGTCTACACAAGGAAATTGATCTGTGATTGACAGATGTCAATCATAGCACCCAGGGTTTTAATTGCTGAAGTAGATAAAGCCAATTTAAGCATAACACTACTTACAGAAAGCATGATTCAAAGGTAAATTTCCTAGTATATGCAGGCCACTGAAAACTATAGGAATTTTTTTAAAATTTTAACATTTCACCTTTTTACTATTGTCTTAAACTTAGTTCCTCTCTGCCACTCAGGCAGGAGCATTATACTTGCTCTTTGAGATGGTACATTTATTGAATGAAGTACAAGCAATCTGGAAAAATATGGAAGGAAAATCTGGGGAGATAACTGCATACAGAGGAATATGAACATTTACCTATTTGTCACAGAGATATAATTAGACTCTGGAAAGCAGGCATAAATTACTACAGACAAACAATGTCAGTCATCACACAGTTTTAAAGAACTTTTTATTGTAAAATACATATTTACAAATGAAGGCACTTTTAATCCATAACAAAACTTTAAAACCTAACAGCTTGGCAAACTGTTCAAGTCCAAAATTTACTCTGCTCTATCAACATTAGCATCTATTCTGGGTCAAATTTATTATGAAAAGGAATTAAAAATCCAACTGTAATACTTTAAGTTTTAATAAAATACACTAAACCTAATCATAACTAACAAATTTCAGCACCATTATTTTAATTCAAGATTAGAGAAACTGAAACAGTCTGCAGGGCATACCTCTTAAGAAATAAAGTAGGTTTACACATGATGAGAAATTAAAACCAAGTTACTAAATTGTTCCATCATCCAATACTGTTAAGTGATCTTTACTGTCCGACAGTCCATCCTAGCCTAGTTTTATTGAGGAATATAACCCCTCATGCAGTGATTCAAGCACAATTGGCTCCATTTATGTGAAGTCTAATTCAAGATCTCTTTCCACAACAAGGTAGATTTTCCAGGGCTGTGCTCAGGACCATGATTACCCATGCACAAATGCATCTTGTCAGTAACTAAAAACTGGAAGTTGGTATGTTTTTTTTTTTTTTCAAACATTCACATCACATACTTAAAAGGAGTTAACTGTAATCTGCGCTAAGATTAGTATATCTTTTGTTACGCCACTTTATAACATTGCAGTCTTCATTCTCAAAACTTTCAAAAGGCAAAACACATTTTTCAGAGCAGTCAAAACAATGGCAGCCTTCAAAAAGTTAATTTGTTATCAAAACCTTGGGGGACTTGTGAACTTTCCCTTCATTGCTGATTACCAAGATGAATATGTAAACCAAAGCGCTCTCCTTTATAATCAATTTCAATCCACCAGATTTCCAGTTCCTTCCACTGAAAATTATGATGTATCAGATCCTGGAGCACTCAATAATCAAGCTAATAAAAGCTAAGTAAAAGAGTCAGAGCTCTAGAAAAGAGTTGTCCATTAAAAAGACAGTTAAAGTTTGTAAGTATAAGATGCTTATAGCAACTTTGAACAGAAAAGTATAACACAGAATTACCTTATGGCTCTAAGCTTTAAAAAAAATCACAACTGTTAAAATTAGACTACTGCTTATAAACAGTATTATATAAACATTAAGTTTTCCTCATCTTGATAAAACAATCCTATCAAAATTCTTTCTAACATTTAAGATGTAAGAATTTTGCTGGAATTTTACACATTGCCATTGGAACAAAGCTAAAGCTACATGTCTGTAATAGCTACCCCCCCCCCCTCCAAAAAAAAAGTACAAACATGCCTCATCTGTTTGGGCTTACATTCTGTGTAGATACTACACAACATAGGAGAGTACACTTGTCAGAAAAAAATATAAGAATCCTAAAGAAAAGAAATTTTAAGTTCATTAAATGAATCATCACACATTTGCTACAGCAGTAACTGATGGCCAAAGCCCAGACCTGTTTAACCATTATTGATACACGCTAGCCTTTTTCAGTTAAGATACAGTATCTATGAATATTTAGTGCTGCAGAGGCGATGTGCAGAAGGAAGGAGTGCTTCAGAGCTGTCTCCAGTGGCAGAATTCACTGCTCTGGAGGAAGCTGAATTCAGAAGAGGCTCCCAGAAACATCTCCCTAACACTCTAGAATAAGTGCGCTTTCAATTTAGGCCTTTGCAGTTGTACTTGCTGATTTCTCTCCCAAACCATAAGAAACATACTTAATCCATGTCACAACATTCACTTTAGTTCACATCCTGAAAGTAGGTGGAGAATAGCATTTTACCAGTTATACTCAGCTATAAAAGCCAAAAATTAACCCTGTTCAAATCACATCATCAAGTCTTTGATAAAAGGTGACTTTTTTCACGTAATACAGAATGCAGAACCAAGAACAGATGGGTTTATCTAACCCTTAATGTAGTAAAACAAACAAGTTGTCTCCTGATCTGTCCACATTAAAGTAATGCATAAGATTCTATAATCTTCATGTAAAAACAAAAAGGCGCTTGAGGTGTTTCCCCGCAAACAGAGCCCCAAATGCTGAGTATAGTGATTGCCCCTGCTGCTTTCCTACATCCAGTCAATTCAATTTCAGAAACAGAACCACTGAAAGTAGGAGCTGGCCCTCATGCTCAAAGCAGAACCGCTAAACTAGAAGATTAGAGGTGAATATCTGACATGGCTCAAAGAACCATTTCAACATGCTAATCAGCAGATAGATTCATAGCACGTCTGACAGCAATAAAGTTAATGTGATCCTAGCCTCTAATTCCCCACAGTTCAGTCCTTAACACTTCCTTTTTGCATTCCTACTGAAGTCAGGTGACAGTACAATTTTACACATTAATTAGTAAACTGCCTGCACACACCACAGCTGGAAAACGGAAAAATTGTTTCCCAGGTGTGATGAATTCTGGAGGCTTCAGTCCCTTGTAGATGTTAGTGATTTGCTCTTTCACTGACAACATCCTGAAGACGTTTTAGTAAGACATCATCATTTTCCTGGCAGAGTCGTTTTGCTGGAGACTCACTGTCACTGTCAATTGTAATTGCTCGCTTCTTACTCCTGTGTTCACCTTGTTTTATCATATTGTTGATGTCCTTCAAACTCTGTCAATAAGAGGAGATTTAAAATTAAAAACAAATATTCAAGCCACTATAATTACTCAATATGACTCTCAGTTTTCAACATGGTCCGAAAAAAGTATTCCTACTCTGGACAGATGTAGCACCTTCCATCTGAGAAGCACTGAGTGTTTTATCCTTTACTTCAGGAACTGCAAGACCAGTTTGAAGAAAGTCTTCACAGCACTCTCTTATGAAAAACCCCAAAGCCAGTCAGAAATTTGGAAGAGGGAGAAATCTTTAAGCTTTGCAATCACTAAAGGTCTTATGTGAATGTCTTACCTTAGAAGGGCTCCCATTAAACTTGTATAGTAGAGCAGTCTGAGGCGTCAGGCAGGCACCATTCTTGTGTGGTGAAACATAAACAGAGTGTTGCTGGGATATCCGCCGAGGAGACACTGGCTGCTGTTTAATGTAGGGGAACGGGGAAAGTGGAGGCGCTTCCATCTTAAAGAAAAAATGGCACACACAGTTTGTCTGTAGGAATTTACCAGAAGGACATTAAAGAATTAACTTCACAAATAAATGAAATGCACATCCATTTTTATCAGTGTGTCCTTTTGGGCCTTCTGTTCCAGGTTACAATTACATTCTAATATTCCAATTCAGTATTCAGCCTGGCAATCACAAAAGAAACTTTATTATTTTTCAACTGTTTCACATAGATGAACTGAGGGGCACTTAAATGCCATTCAGTTTCTCATATTAATATGGCACTCACTCATCAGTTTCTACTCCATTTCAATGGATAGCCTGTTAGCAGGACAGACATGCAATCTTGCTGCTGTAGTATGTTATAGCCCAGAACTATGATTATTTTATTTATGCAACCATGTAGAAACAAACACAATCAGATGATGAGGTGGATCCATTTCATGTTGAGTGTCAGAGGATGGGTTTAGAGGTGAGACATATACAAGCCTACACAGTTTATGATCTACAGGGCAATGATAGCAACAGTCTGAGTTTTTAAAAGATGACATTTTATGTTTAAAGGGCAATAAAACTGCCACTAAGCATCCATGCACACTATTAGACATATTCAAAATTAGAATTATTTTACTTACTACATGATCCTGGTTTGTGACATCGTACTTGAGTGCAAATGATTTTACTCTTCCTACATAGACTGCATTGTAAAATTTTATCAGATCTCCTCTCTCCTCCTTTCCCAATTCACTTGAGTTCTCTGGTGTTGATCTTACAAGTGAAAGAGACACTTTCCCAGGAGAGTCTATCACAGTAGGGGAAAAAAAAAAAAGTCAGATTTAAAACCCTTAATGTCAGCAATCTAAATTAGATTTTTAAGATACAAGCTAATACACAATCAGTCACACTCTATATAAAGATTCCACTTATAAAGAGTTAAAATGATTAAGAGAAGGTTACTCACCTGGTGCAGTAATGGAGGTTCTTCGAGATGGTTATCCTTGTGGATGCTCCACTTTAGGTGTCTATGCGCCCTAGCTTGTAATTGGAGATTTGTGGTAGCAGTTTCTGGTTGGGTCACGCACGTGCCGCTCCAGGCGGTTACATAGCGCTGCACGACCAACCATTCCTTGGTTCCTTCTCTACTGCAGAGAATCTATGTGAAACTCCAAAGTAGAGGGAAGGAGTAAGGGTAGTGGAGCACACACAGGGACAACCATCTCAAAGAACCTCAGTTCCTGCACTGAGTAATCTCTTCTTCACGGAGTGTCCCTGGGCGTGCTCCACTTTAGGTGACTGTTGAGCAGTGCCCCTCAGTGGAAGAGAGGGGCTTCGGAGTTGTGTTATTGAAGGTGGATAACACAAGTCCAAAGCGAGCGTCCGATGCTGACTGTTGCTCTATAGCAGGGGTCGGCAACCTTTCAGAAGTGGTGTGCCGAGTCTTCATTTATTTACTCTAATTTAAGGTTTCGCACGCCAGTAATACCTTTTAACATTTTTAGAAGGTCTCTTTCTATAAGTCTATAATATATAACTAAACTATTGTTGTATGTAAAGTAAATAAGGTTTTTAAAATGTTTAAGAAGCTTCAATTAAATTAAAATGCAGAGACCCCCGGACCAGTGGCCAGGATCAGGGCAGCGTGCCACTGAAAATCAGCTTGCGTGCTGCCTTCGGCACGCGTGCCATAGGTTGCCTACCCCTGCTCTATAGCATAGTATTTCGTGCATATGTGGGTGTGACAGGTTCCCCCCCTTCCGGGGTGCCACCTGGGACTGGGGTACCACTGAGCCTGCCTGACCCACCAGCCTGGGCTTCCTTTCACCCTGTAATGCTGTGACAAGCTGCAGACACGCTCCTGGTCTCACATGTTCACCAGCACAGAAGTAGGGACACACCCAGCTGCAGAAACACACAGACACTGAAATTAGCTCTGCCTGTGAAGGCTCAGTTAAGGAATTGCCCAGTACTCAAGTGCACATCCCCTCTCTAGGGGATAAACCCAAAATTATACTGTCTTGCGCTGCACAGAGAACTGTACAGTGTAAGCTCATGAAATTCGCCCCCTCCCTCAACGTGGAGAGGGATATACCCAACTTTCTGCCCCAAGTAAGGATTTTTACACACACTGGTTTTAAATAAAACAAAAGTAAGTTTATTAACTACACAAGATAAATTAAGTGATTATAAGGGCTAGCAAACAGATCAAAGCAGATTACCTGGCAAATAAAACCAACACTCAATCTAAGCTTATAAGCAGCAAATTCTCACCCTAAATGTTGTTCTAGACAGATTGTAGAGATTCTTGAAGGCAAGCTGCCCTTGCTTGCTGCTTAAAACGCCAGATATTCCATCCTCTAGCCTGGGCTCAAGCTCTTCCCCCCCAGCTTAGTCTCTTTGCTTCTCAGGTGTTTCAAGCAGCCTTCTTTCTTAGGTGGGCGTTAGTGAAGAACGACCCACGATGATGTCACTCTCCTATCTTAAATAGTTTTTGCATATGGTGGGGATCCTTTGTTTCCCAGCGATCCCCACCTCCAGTCAGTAGGAAAATACTAGTATTATCATGAATCCAACACCAGGTGACTTGGTCACATGACCCTACAGTCATAACTCAGAGGCTGTTTGTAACGTCCCCAGGAAGGCTTCTCTGTGGGTGATTAGCATCTTCTAAGACCTATTGTTCTCCCTAGTGGCCCTTCCCAGCGAGACGCCTAGAAGGATTGCATTCTGCCTGGTGGGCATTCCCCAGGTGTAAACATATTTGTAATAGATGCAGAGACAATATTCTTTACTTCAGATACAAAAATGATACATGCATACAAATAGGATAATCATATTTAGTAAATCATAACCTTTCCAATGATATCTCACATGACCCATCTTGCATAAAACATATCTTAATTATGCCATAATCATATCATAACCATATCTCTATGAAGAAAATGGAGTATAATGCCACAGTGGTCTGATGCCCAAGTTACTGCTCTGCAAATGTTGATAATGGGGACATTGTTGAGAAAAGCTACGGATGCTGAAAATGCTCTGGTATAGTGTATGTGGATGCCCATTGGGGCTTATAAAGGAAGTTTTTGATAACAAAGGTGGATGCATCCTGATATCCACTTGGATAGTCTATGCTTTGAGATGGTTTTTCCCATTGAACATTGTATTATAGACACAAATAGTTTTGGTAACTTTCTTAATGTTTTTATTCTTTCAATGTAGAAAGCTGATGCTCTTCTAATGTCCAGTGTATGGAGTGATGCCTCTCTTTCTTCTGCATGTGGTTTTGGAAAAAACATAGGTGAGTAAATGGCCTGATTCAGATGAAAGGGGGAAGCAACCTTGGGTAGGAATTTGGGGTGTGGTCTTAAGATAACTTTGTCTTTAAATAAAGTTGTGTATGGGGGGGGGGGGTGTCATTAGGGCACCTAGTTCCTTCATCCATCTGGCGGATGTGATGGCGATGAGGAAAGCCACCTTCTTAGATAGGTGGAGTAGTGAGCAGGTGGCAAGCGGCTCAAATGGTTTTCCTATTAGTCTGTGTAAGATGAGGTTGAGCTACCACGTAGAAGGTGGGTTTCTTATTTCTGGGTAAATGTTCTCAATGCCCTTGAGGAAACGTTTAGTTGTTGGGAGGGCGAATATGGTGACCCCATCCACCTTTTCATGGAAAGCTGTGATCACCACCAAGTGTACCTTGATGGAAATTGTGGACAGCCCGTTTTTATATGTAATCCAGTACCCTTGGTAAAGGGGAGGATGTGATAAGATCTGTTTATCTTGGCACCAATTGCTGAACCGTTTCCACTTATGCATATATGCGTCTTCCTTGTGCTCGTTCTATGGCAGTTCATTAGTATGTCTTTTGCTTCCGCCGAACAGGGTGTCTCAACTCCTCTCTGCCATGGAGAAAAGCCAGGCCTTGTGGTGGAGTATTGCGAGGTTGGGATGGTGGACATGCCCCGCATTTTGTGAGAAGAGGTGAGGTATCAGGGGAAGGGTTTGAGGCGAGCATACCGCTATCTTTAACAGGTACGGAAATCATGTTTGTCTGGGCCATGTAGGTGCTATTAGAATGACTCTGGATTTGTCCCTCGATCTTGGGTATGAGCCAGTTTAGGAGTGGGGTCAGGGGGAATGCATATGTTAACGATGCATCCCATTTGATGAGGAGAGCATCGCCTAAGGAATGGTGTCCCAGTTCTGCTTTGGAGCAATATTGTGGGCACTTGGTGTTCTGTGCTGTTGCAAAGAGGTCTATGGTAGGGAATCCCCATAGTTTGAATATCGTATGTAAAATTCTGGGATCCATCTCCCATTCATGACTGTGACAACTCTGTGCTTAGCGCATCTGCTGTTGTGTTTTGACATCTCGGAAGATAGGATGCTGATAGGCTGATGTTGTTGCTGATGCACCAATTCCAGAGCTGCATTGCCTCTGTCCATAGGGAGTGTGACTGTGCCCCCCCCTTCGCGGTTTATGTAAAACATGCACACTATATGGTCTGTGAGGATCCTGATGGCTTTGTTTATGATTATAGGTAGAAAGTGGTTGCATGCGTTACGGACTGCCCTTATCTCCAGCAAGTTTATGTGCATGTTGGACTCCAATGGGAACCATTGGCCTTGGATTGTGTTGTTGAGTAGATGCACTCCCCAACCTATTAGGGAGGCATCCGTAGTGAATGTCATTGTTGCGGTCCTTTGTAGAAATGTGACTCCTGTTCAGACATTCTTGGGTTGTGTCCACCATTTTAGGGAGTCTTTTACCCTTTGTGGCATTGTAAGACATCTGCTTAGGCTGTGCCTGTGTGGCATGTACACTGTTTGAAGCAGGCCTGCAGGCATCTCACGTGAAGTCTGGTGTGACTGACAACAAATGTCATTGCTGACACATGTCCCAGTAGTTGTACACTCGTTCTGGCAGATGTTTGTGGGCTGTCCATTACCATCTAAATTAAATCGACAAGTGTGATGAAGTGTTGCTGAGGTAGTGTTGCTGTTGAACAGTCTAAACAAGCTCCTATGAATTCCAATTTCTGGACATGAATCAATGTGGGCTTTTGTGCATTATCTGTAACGCATACCTCATGAAAAGGGTTATTGTACTCTGCGAGGCACTCATTGCTTCTTGTTATGTTGGTGCCCTTATGAAGCAATCGTCCAAATATGGAAATATCAAGACTCTGTATCTGCAGACGTGTGCTGCCACCACCACTAAAACTTTGGAGAAAACCGTTGGGGTGGTCAACCAGCCAAAGGATAGTACTTTGTATTAGAAGTGTTGTTTCCCTAGGGTGAACCTCAGGAATCTTCTGTGTGATGGATGAATGGTAATGTGGAAATACACGTCCTGCAGGTCGAGGGTCGAGAATCAGTCCCCCTTTTCTAATGCTGGAATTATGGTTTGTTAGTGTCACCACTTTGAAATCTTGGTTTTTACAAATTTGTTGAGTTTCCTTAGACCCAAGATGAGTCTCCATCCGCCTGTCTTTTTCTATGTGAGAAAATATTTTGAATAGAAACCTTTCCCTCTGTGCTGCGTTGGTACAGGTTCCACAGCGCCTAGATGAAGGAGATGGTTTACTTCCTGTTGCAGCAGTGACTTGTGAGAGGGGTCCCTGAAGAGGGACAGAGAGGGAGGGTGGGTAGGTGGGATGGAGATAAAGGGGATGGAGTAACCAGTTTGGATAATTTCCAAAACTCACCTGTCTGTAGTGATATTGAGCCAGACTCGGGTGAAACGGTGACAAGTAATTTCGGAATGGTCAGGAAATAATCTCTGTTTCCAGCGTTAGAATG